GAGCAAGTTCCTATTCGTTCCATATGCTCTATAGGAGATAACTGTCTGATCGTCCAGTACGAACTGAAATCGTCCTGTACGATCAGTATAAATTTTATATGATCTCCTTATGTGTGTGTATGTTTTTATTCACTCAAAATACAATCACTCCCTTTCAATTTGATTTCTAAGAAAAGTGCAAGCTTCAAATTATACAAAATATCGCATGCTGAATTTAATTTGAAGTATTCGTAGTCTGGAGTTCATTTTTTTCTGAAATGTCAGTACACACAAGAGCAAATACAATTCTTCAAAAAAAATGTTAGGAGATAACTACACATTTGAACAATAATGTTTGGAATCATCAAAACTTCATAAGTTGCAAAAAATGTAAAGCATGCAAATAGCAACTATCTTAACCAGAAGATCTCTGGAGAAGATCTGGTTCTTTGCCGACACCAAGAGGGTGTGAAAGGATGACGGTACTCTGCCGACAACATGAGAGCACAAAAGGATGACGATACTTTGTCAACATCAGGAGGGTGTGAAATAATGACGCTACTCTATCGACACCAGGAGGGTGTGAAAGGACGATGGTACTCTTCCATACTGGGGATTGGTGGAAGAGAGGTTAATTGTAAGGGCTTCTCCGCCTTACTGTGCGAGTAAAAGGAGAGTCACTTTGGTATAGTACAATACCTGAAAAGGGAGTCTTTAGGGAGTGGACGTAGGTCTAGTTGGACCGTACCACTATAAATTTCTGTATTTTTTTAGTCTTTACTTTTTACTATTTTTATTTTTTTTTTCTGCAAGTTGATTTAATGGTTGAAAAGTTTATTTTGATAAATTCGCCCCCTCCCCCCTCTTGGTTAGCCTAGGGACAAACTTAATAGGTCTAACAACATATTCGGACTTTTAACCCTTAGTGGGGTTAAAAGTTGTAAGCACCTTTCATTTATTTAGACTTAAATTTAAGATACTACTTGTAAAGTAATTACCTTAGTTTTAGGATATAAGACTAATAGTTTTTCATTTGTTATATCATAAGTTCTCAAATCTTGAGCAATTTTTAATTTTTATTTACTGAAATATAGGCCTAAAATTTTTAATAAAATGAAAAACTCAAACAATAAATCAAAATCTTCAAAAATTTAAAGTCTAACTTATGACAGTTTTGAGTAATGTTGATTTCTGGAACCCGAACCCGACCCCTTTTGAAATCGGGTCGGGTCCAACCCGGCGGGTCCGGGTCGGGTCCGGGTCGGGTTTTCGTGTCGTGTCAAAAATTGACACCCCTACTTTTCATCCATTGACTCTTGAAAAGATTTGTTCTAAATTTGAAAAAAAAAAGCATTTTAAACTTTAAAAGAACATCATTCTTTAAAAGTTGAAATCATAAAAATAGTTGCCACAAATTTTAATCGAGATTATTCTCAATAACTCATTTCTCTTAAAAGTAATAAAGCTTATGGGGTGCCTTTATAGGGAACTTATACCCTCTAATAAAATAAACAATTTCTTACTCATATTATGTAAGGGAAAATCTCTATGAATGCATTGCTAGAATATACTAGCTAGCTCCATGTGCCCACTACTGTGCAACCAGCGGCAGCAGGCACCAGCTGCTTTCTGGAAGGATCCATCTAGCAGATCACGTGAAATCTCTATTCCTCTCTATATATAAATAGTAACCGGAGGAAAAGTTAATGGAGAAAATATTGAAATCACTTTATGCTTCATGCTAACTCTTTTGTTTTCCTTTGTAGCTCCTCTGTTAATGCAGGTTCTTCTCATGGTATTAGAGCATTAATGCTATACAGCTCCTCCTAAACATGTATGAACGTGAAGCTTCAAGTGCCCAATCGGCATCACAACCAGTCTCTTCTCTCTCGGCATCAATGGCAGAATTCACGGTTCCTTCTCCTCTCAAATTCCTCATGTCCAACATCAATCATATCGTTACCATCCAGCTCAATAATGAGAACTATGTCATTTGGAGATCACAGACGCTCCAGCTTTTCACCGCGAACGGGTTCGAGGGATACCTCACGGGAACCCAGTTAAAGCCGCCCGAAACCAGTGCAAATTACATATTATGGAGGCTTAAATCTCATCCCATCGATATTTTCTACTGTTTCCCCTTGATACTCCCATATATCCTAAATCTATTCTCCGCTCATGAGATCTACTAAACCCTTGAGAACCGGCTACAACCCACCAACCGTTCGAGAGTTATCCAAGTCAAGAATGCTCTATTTATGTTAGTTCATACAGACGTTTGGGGCCCCACACCCACTTCGTCACTTATGGGTTATCGCTATTATGTTATCTTCATAGACAATTATACTAGCTTTTGCTGGCTATATTTAATGAACTCAAAGGCAGAAACCTTTTCTAAATTCCAGCAATTCACTAATCTCATTCAAAATCAATTTCAAACAAAAATAAAAACAATTCGATCTGACGGGGGAGGGGAGTACACAAGCACCCAATTCAAATCATATCTCTCTACAAATGGCATCCTTCAACAATTCTGTTGTGCTCATACCACTGAATAAAATGGCCTTGCTGAACGAAAGCATCGTCACCTACTAGACAACTCGTACACTTCTACTCGCTGCTCATCTACCCCACTCCTTCTGGGCCGTGCACTACTCACCGCTGATTACCTAATTAACAGACTACCAACCAAAGCACTCAACCTACAAATTTCATTCCAATCGCTTTAACAGTCCCAACCATCCTATCATAATCTACGTATATTCAGTTGCAAGTGCTTCCCTTGGCTCCGACACCAAGCACGCAACAAGTTGTCCCCATGGTTCCTTGAATATATCTTCATTGAATCTCTCCTACTCATAAAGCTTATAAGTTCTTTGATCCTCTTACCAACAAAACACATGTCTCTCGACACGTCGTATTCCATGAACATATATTCCCGTATCAATCTCCTCATACCAGTCTACCACCTCCACCATCAAACAACTACACCTCCCCTCTAACTCTCCTCCCAACCTCAACCGTTTCACCTCCACAAATCAACCAAGAACCTTTACTTCCCCCGAGTCCAACTCACCACAACCATCTACCACTTCTCCAACCACAACATCTCAGCCGACCCATCCCATCGCTGATTCCAATTCCTCATCTTCCAGCTCACTCATTCCCACCTCATTACCCCCAACTACACACCCAATGCTAACTCGCCTCAAATCTGGAATTGTCAAACCCAAACCCATCTTCGACCTGCTAGCTACCACCGCAAATCCTACCACTCCAACCTCATTCAATCAAGCCAACAAGAATCCCAACTGGCATGCTTCCATGGCCAAAGAAATTCAATCCCTTCACCGATAGGGTATGTGATCTCTTGTACCTCCACCATCACAACATCTTATTTTGGGGTGTAAATGGACTTACCAAACAAAATTGAACTCAATCGAGCAAATTCATCGTTATAAAGCATGGTGGCCAAAGGATTTAATCATCAACATGGTATCAATTACCACGAGACATTTAACCCCATAGCCAAGCTACCAACCATTCAAATACTACTCATCATTGCCAATCAGCGCGCCTGGAAAGTCACTCAATTGGATGTCTCCAATGCATTCCTCCATGGCGATCTTGACGAAGAAGTTTATATGCGACAACCACAAGGGTTTGTTGATAAACAATTCCCCAGCCACGTATGCAAGCTTTGCAAGGCCATCTACGATCTAAAGCAATCCCCAAGGTAGTGGTACCACAAGCTTACCTCCCACCTTCAAGGAGTAGGATTCCGATTCAGTAAGTCTGATCCCTCACTTATATTTTACAAAGTCAACAAAATTCGTATATACATACTTATATACGTCGACGACATGCTTGTTACTGGCAACAATCACCAGTTCATCCAGAATCTCATTGCCAATCTTAAAACTGCTTTTTCCCTCAAAGAACCCATCCCTGTCTCAATGTTCTTAGGCATTCGAATCACCCCAGTCCCAGATGGCCACTTCCTTGACCAGCAACAATATTCCCAAGCCATTTTGCAAACCAGTGGTTTTCTTAACTGTAAACCTTCTACTACTCCCATTGCTCTCAAATCGCAAACTCAAACAGCTCCAGCTCAACCGTCACACGACTCAACCTTCTACAGGCAGCTAGTAGGCTCTCTCCAATATTTAACCATTACAAGACCGGACATCACATTTTCTACCAACCAAATCTGTCAGCATATGCATGATCCTAAACCAATCAACTTTAAAGCCATGAAGAGACTTCTCCGTTACATACAGGGCACCATTGCATATGGACTTGCCCTACTTTACAGCAACCTGGACCTCTCAACTTAAGTTGATGCGGACTGGGCCTTTAATCATACCGATCGAAAATCCACTACTGGCTTCTACACCTTTCTTGGCTAGAATTTGATTTCATGGTCAGTGAAAAAGCAAACCACAGTGGCCAAGTCGTCCACCGAGGCCGAATACTACATGATGGCAGCGGCCACCTCGGACATTCTCTGGCTTAGAAGACTTCTCTAGGAATTTGATGCATCTCAAACTCAACCTACCAAAGTATTCTGCGATAATACCTCCGCCATAGCCTTGGCTAAAAATCCCATATTCTATGCTCGCACTAAACATATTGAGATTGAGTATCATTTTATTAGTCACCACATCAACAACAAGGAAATCAAAGTTCTACACATCAAATCTACTGGACAACACACTGATCTCCCGATAAAGACTCTAGCTACGACTCAGTTCCAAGAACTTCGCACCACACTAACTATCCTTCCTAGGGACAATCAATTTGAGGGGGCCTGTTAGAATATACTAGCTCCATGTGCCCACTACTCTATTATAATATATATATATATATATTAGTGTGTAGCACTGTAGCACCACTACACAACATTACAGAGCTGCGTATTGAATCTAGAATTACTGTAAAACAAAGCCTTCAATGCCATCATGATAACTTATGGCATTGTTGCACTCACATACCTAGCCGTCCAGCATCATAGTTTGAACCAGTTAGGCGCCAAAGCGCTCTAGTTCAAACAAAATTTTGGACTATTCATTTTAAATTTATTTTCAAAAATTGAGTTGTTATAATCTACCCAATTTAGAAAAATATCATCCGCGATATTTTCATTAAGGATTCATGCATAAAATGGTTAAAAAAATAAATATGTTCTCAAATAAATATGTACAAAAATCTAAATTAAGTCAAACTCAAATCAAAAGCTCATCGAAGAATCTACAGTAAATCAATAATCAATATATATCATACAGTCATACAGCTCATTCAATCACATGCCATTCATGTATGTAATGAAATGCTAAGTTAATCAATCATTCAAACCAAATTTATTACTAGCATAACTCTTAGATTATAGTTTGTCTTCCTGATATTATAAGTTATACACTTGTGGCATGCACCAGGACCACTAACAACTCTATTATCAATCCTTTATATCAATCGTTCACTATAATCTCTCGATCTTACAATCCTCTGTCATTTAGTCTGCCTACTCTATCATGCTCCTAAATAAGGTCTTCCACCAAATCTTCTCTGAGAATAATCTAGTACCTTATGTCATTGTTGTCTGCATCAAAAATATCGTCTTGTATGACGGTAGCACTGACTCTAATGTCTTCTTCCACGACAAACCACGGTTATGATAGCATGAGGCGAGTTAGCATAAAGAAAATGGATATATATATAAAACAAATAAATATGTTCTCAAATAAATATGTTCAAAAATCTAAATTAAGTCAAAATCAAATCAAAAGCTCATCGAAAAATATACATTAAATCAATAATCAATATATATATATATATATATATATATTACAGTCATACAGTTCATTCAATCACATGTCATTCACATATGCAATAAAATGTTAAGTCAATCAATCATTCAAAGCAAATTTATTACTAGCATAACTCTGAGATTATACACCATCTAGCCAAAGAGGGATATTAGCCTTCTACTCCATCTAGCTAATGTATGTAAATTATTATTCTTTTATGTGTTCACCCATATATTGTGTTGTATGCTTTAATTAATTTTGCTCATGTGCTACCTTTGCCTTATAAATCAATGCTTGTTTATTCAAGAAATGTTGGTGTTGTTCTGGGAATTGAGGTGGAGGATTCATGAAGGCTAGGTTAGCATTAGTCTTTTGTTATTTTTCATGAAATCCATAGAAGAAAGTAAAAAAAAAAAAACAAAGAATTCTTTAAATAAGGCCCCATTAAGAATTCTTCCAGCTGATATTTATTACCAATTTTGATTGGTCTTATACATGTTTTTTTTTTATATAAATCAAATTTATAAGAATCAAATTTATATAACTGTTGCGTCCAGGAGTATTCGCGGCGGTAGAGAAATATTATATTTAACGTCTTAGCATTGTACGAAGATCTGGCACGCAAGCAGATAAGGAGAGAGGGTCTAGCATTTATGAGACACCAAGATTTTTACGTGGAAAACCCCTGTAAAAGGGGGAAAAACCACGGGGCCTAGCCCAGTTTGAACGAATCCACTAGTATTTGCAGTCGATTACAAATGAGACCCTTCCTTGGGAAAAGGCCTTAGCATGATGTACATCTTATGGAGTACATTACATGATGTAAATACAAAGATCTACTATCGACGTATTCGCTTTGTTAGAAGGACTGCAGTTGGCGTGCGACGTAGGTCAGGAGGACCGTAGTCAGCTGGCGACGGAGGATTGTAGTCGGCGGGCGACGTAAGTCAGGAGGACTGTAGTCGGCGGGCGACGAAGGTCGGAAAGGATGTATTCGGTGAGCGACATAAGTCAGGAGGACCGTATTCAACGGGCGACGGATGTCAAAAAGACTGTAGTCGGCGGGCGACGTAAGTCAGGAGGACCGTAGTCAGCTGGCGACAGAGGATTGTAGTCGGCGGGCGACGTAAGTCAGGAGGACCGTAGTCGGCTGGCGACGGAGGTCGAAAGGACTGTAGTCTGACGACGAAGATCAGTAGGACAGCGTCAGGTAAAAGTACAGCAATGAAAAGAAATACATCTTCGCATAGACGTCCAGCGGAGTCCGATAACCGGTAGAAGTCCGGCGTCGGGTAGAAGCTTGGCGAAGAGTGAAGGTCCGACGTCGGGTAGAAGTCCGACGTCGTTGGTGGCAGAGGAGAACTCTGGCTTCACTTGGGCGGAGTTTCGGCGTCATGAAGAGAATAGAACTATAGAAGCAGCTTTACATACAATTTACTCCAAGTTTCATTATTCTAAGGCAAGGTAGACATGCCGGCAGAAATCTATAAGATAAGTCAAACAAGTATTATCTTGTAAGTCCCAAGCATCAAAGAGGGGCGGCCTCGACTTCGAAACTCTTCCCATCTACTCCTGTGTTCCTAATTCTCCTTTAAGGAGCTGAATAACTTGCATTCCAGAACTACCTAGGACCAATATGTAGTCCATCCACCCTATTTTGCATTTGGTTGGAAATTTTAAAACTACATCCTGGAAAACATTCAAATGAATAAAAGACAAGTGATAAGCATAATAGAATTAGGACATGTATGTTTAAATAGGTTGACCCTTAGCTAAATTGCAAGAGCAAATATTGAACTATATTAACTGCTCCATCAGGAGCAAAGTTTTAAAAGATAGACCAACCATCTAGGAAAAAAAGTTAATTTGGAAGAAACCAAATAGTTGGACTTTAACTAAATAATTTTGAGCTCGTTGAAAAAAATGGGCACTCCAATAGTATATTTCCAATGTATCAATAGGAAGTAAATAAATTAACCAACCTGCCATCATGCATCTCTACCCTCATTCCATTTTGTCACTTCTCTACTCATAGCTGATTTATTTTCACATGTCAAACATAGAGCTGTTCATGTGTAAGATACAAAGACATGCTAAGAAAAATTTATAATGCAAAATATTCAAAACGACAACATAAAAGTTACTTGTAGTTATTTGTTTAATGAGATTACATTAGTTGGAGAGAGAGAGAGAGAGAGAGAGAGAGAGAGAGATGTATGAGATTGAGATGAAAGAAGAAAATGGAAAAACAAAAGTTATAACTCAATATATAGTTATGCTGAAAATATGAAACGTTTCACATAAATCTGATTAACAGCTCAATCGTTACTGTTATGTAAGAAGAAGATGAAGCATTTCACATGCAAATAAGAAACTGAAAGTATGATTACATTGAAAAACTTATAATTTCACTGTTAGAATGAATCACTCTGATCACGTATGAAAGAGATTAATATAAGTATTAAGTTATATAGAATTTGAAATTTCATGAATGTTGTTATAATTTAACGTTGTTATCACTATGTTATTTCTAAGAATGCTAACAAATAACCTCAATGAAAGTTGAAAAAAAAAAGTATCTCTCAGCCAAAGGTAAATTTTGATAATCAACTAAATTTATTAAAATTAGCATCGCAAACTCAAGGTATATCAGAGAGCATAGTGTGATGGATGTCCGAGCTACTATTACCATGCTCGGGTTTGCAGAGGCCGAATCCATGCTCGGGTTCGCGGATGTCCGAGCTACTATTGCTTCGGCCTTTGCACTACAAGTCGTTCGTCGTGAGGAGGCGACGGTGTATCCATTAGGTGGGTCAACATCGACGGAGAGATGTAAGAAGATGGAGGCCGACTCCATAGCCTCATCCAGAGTAAATAAACTCACGAGCATTCTCATCTCTGCAAATACTTAATGTTATGCTTCTCTTATAATGACCAATATTTTACACCATAAAATATTACATGTCTCACCATATCTTTTAGAATCTTTCTCTAGGTTTGAGGGGAATTTTTTATCTCACAATAAGCCCAACTTATTCTTCCAGTATAACTATCCAACTTGAATTCTACTAATAGTATCCACATATATTTCATTATGAACTCCTTATATTGTCTTATCAACAAGAAGAATATCATCAACAAAATGCATACACCATGGTACAATCTCTTGCAAATGTCTACCGAGAACATCCATGACCAAAGAAAAAAAAAAAGAGCTAACGTATATTAACTTACGCATGATTCCAACGATTGAGGCAGTGAACGATGGCAATGGAGCAGTGTACACAAAGGCAATATTCGACAGGAGGCGACTCACACGACCAATAGCGAAGCAAGAATAGGAAAGAGCATGAACGAATTGAGAAGGAAGACTATTGCGGAAGGAAAATATGGCCTTTACTGGATGTCATACTGGCGGATTTTTTCCTGCTCCCAAAGTACTCTCACTTTTACTCTCAAAAGAAATTTTGAAGAAGGATACTTCGTCAATCAGCTTTTAGGACTCTTATATATGAATGAGACGAAAAACC